AGCCATTTAAGTTGGGACCCCCAATGAAACCAACTCACTGGCTGGAGTGGCTGGAATTCCTTTGTGCTGCTCTTCAGGTGCTCTCCTGCTAACCTATTGCTGCCTAAAATCAGAAGAAAAACTTTCCAAACAATATTAGAATAGATAGCATAAAGAGCAGTCTTTCAATGAAAGCTTATGTGCACATGCAGCATCAAATTTTCACAGTTTTTAGAAGTTTAACTAATTAGTATATCTAGCTAGTACATCCAATGGGAGACTGGTTGTCCTGGTAACCCACCCTTGGACCTGCCCCACTGGAGTCACTCCAAGGGGTTCTTAGCCCTGCATCTTGTTATGTCCTTGTTGGAAATCCTTTTCCTTGAAAATAAGACCAAACAGCATTTCAAGAAGGTGACATAATGTGTGAGAAAGGGTAACTACTGTTCTAAAGTGTAAGAAAGTGCTAGAAACTATACAGCTACATATTAAAATCTACAAAGCTACAAATACATCAAGAAGCGAAAAGTCTTTAGGCATCACTATAATCCTCCAGGGTCTGGGCATCTCTTGTGGGGGCACTGGCATCAAACCAGTGGGACTGGGATGAAAGGAGGTTCTCCTCCCCTGGCAAATTCAAACCCTCTTGACCATCTTGGCAAGTCTGTGACTGAAGATGGTCATTCCTTGTGCCTAGTCCTTTTAGATCTTTACCTGTCTTGCTTACTGTTACCCTTCCCCATTACTGAATTACCCACTGCTGAACCCTTTTTTTTTCCATTAACATATTTTTGCACTCTAGTTTAATTCTTTAACTTCATTCTCTGTAGAATGCAAATATACTAGAGATATCACAATCTTGAAAATATGCTTCTTTCAATATGTTGGCTCTTTCCTTTATCTACTTGATAAAGTAGAAAAACACAGCATAAACACATAGTAAAAAGCTGGGTCATTTGTAATAAATGACCGGGAAAAGGACAATTAGGCTACTAGGAATAATTTTAATTGGTGTCATTGTCCTTGGATACATTCATTTAACACAATGCAAAAGCCTATCCACACATATTTAATAATTTAATACTTAAAGCTTCATTCTAGGTTCTGTTCTTTTTTGGTAAGCGATTTGGATATTTATTCTTCATTTGCCGCTTTGTAGTCCACAATCCAAATCCTGGTATGAATAGTTTTGTTATAGTCTTAAACCCTGACATTTTTAACTGCCTCAAAAATGTTAGGAATTCATCTGTACAGCAACTCCTTCAGTGTGAAAATGACTGTTTGCAATTTGGTTGGTATTTTCACAGGTGGCTACTAATTATGAAGGCTCTACTTAAGATGAATATTTATCTGCAGTATAACTTTTCCCCTTCTGTTTTCTGTAACTATCTGAATACACTATCAGCATAAAATTTTACAGTCTTCCTATGTTTTCTTTTCTAAGAGTGTGAATATTATTCAAGGCCCTTGTGAACAACTATACTTAATACAATGTTAACAATTTTTACAGATTTTTAATTTCATGTATTGAACAGTATTTTGTCTTCAATCAAAGAAGAAACAATTGAGAAAACAAGATTATTTGTTGTTGTTCTATTAAGAAAACAAGATTAACAAAGGAGAATAAAAGATGTTTAAATTAGTATTTAACTTTCAAGCTATATTATTCATAATGCACTCTATCAAGCATAAGTGTGAATAATATTTTAAGCAGTGAAGACAACTGGAAAGTTCTATCTCCGAGATACAGAAAAATAAGTCCGAAATCTACTTCTAAAATTGCCATAAAAGTTTAGAAATGTTATGCTGTATTATGGCAAATCTACTAAATTCCTAGGAAAAGAATGAGTGTAAAAGACTTATTAGCATGCTGTGTACAGTAACATCTTCTTATCTTTCTGTTGCTCTGCTTTTAATAATCTCACATTCCTGCCTCTTATTAAATCTTACTTTTTTCTTTTTTTTTTTCTCCTAGAGACTGCACTGGCAGTGCTTTGCATCCTATACATTTAGGTAAAAGGTAAGAAGAAACTCTTCTTCTAAATATTGGGTGCCTTATAATTCCATTTTTTTTTAATTCAAACTTTTCAAGTTTTTCTTATTCCACATATGAATTTGGATGAGAAAGTGTGAGGAAAAGCTTTCAGATCTATTTGTTGTAAACAACTGTTTCTTGTTTTTTTTAATTCTCAATCTTATCACTACTATTAGGTGTGAATAAGGAATGGGGGGAGGGTTATAAGTAAAAACTGACTATGAAATGAATGTATTGCATGTATTTAATATACATAATGCTTTTCTGACTGTTTCAGGGTGGCTTTTTAAATACGTTCATTCTGTATTCACAATATTGCAAGCAAGATGGCAATTTAAGTTTTTTAAAAACCCAGCTTTTACTAATTAAAAGTGATGTTGGTGGTGGTGTTGTTGTTATTATTACCATTATTACAGGACCTAGTGAAAAAAGGGCAACATCTAGAAAAGAATATTTTAAACACAATATATGGGGCAATTACAGAGCTGTTGTAGACATTACTTTCAAAACTGTAGCTATTTCTTTCAGCTTCCAAATGTAGAAAGAAGTCTAATTTTGTGTGCCTTTCTTCCTTGTTTTCTAATCTACTTGCAACATTTAATGTGTACCAAGCTACTGCAGGAAAATTTGTTGGCAATCAGAAACACTGGAAGAAAGATGTTTGAAGCCACATTTAGCAAAATACTCAGAGCTGAAAAAGGAGTCAAAGCCAACATTATTCATGCACTGGTTGTTAGACATTTCCTGACCAGAACCACCTTTCTCACACCAGGAGTGGAGAGCTGTGGTCCCTTTTGGTGTTCTTGCTCAGGTAAACTCCAGCAGCAGCAGCACCTTTGGCTTTAAGCCAAGAGACAAGGTCTGTAGATAAACCAGCGCAATCTGGTATGTCCCTAAATCAGTGCCAAGTGCTACTTCACATGGGGATGGGATCTATGAAGGAAGATGAAGAGTCCTTCAGAGCTCCTCAAACCTGCCCCCTCTTCACACCAGCCTGTGTGTTACCATTAATCACAATCCCACAGTTTTACAGAACCACACATAACAGCCAGGGCTCTAGGATTGCTGCAGGAATGTTTGTTTCTCCACCAGAAATTCCAGTATCAGTCTGTTACAGTTTAGAAAACAAAAAGTAAGCAATAAATTCAATAAAACAACTTATTACAGTTAAGGATGTATTTGAATGAGTACGTTTATGGGAGTTCATTGTACCAGAACAAGCAGCTGCTTGTTCAGCCACCAGTTTAAGTAGAGTTGATCTTGTTCTGGTTGAAAATCTCAACTAGTTAGATTTTTGCAGAAGAGCCTAAGCAATGTCATGTCAGTGCTATTCTTGAAAGGTGTCCTGTTCTTACAAAGCAGCCCAGCTACTGAGTGTCTGATTGTTAGATCTCAAATTCAGACCTCAGACCTGGATAATTAATGAAAATTTGGGAGGTAAGAGAGAAGACTAGATATATCAAAATCAGTACTCCTACATTAGTATTACTGTTTTAGGTATCTCTACTTGAGATAATTATGGGTGTTACCAGTATTTGTTACCAATAAATATAGCAGAAAATAAGATAAAGCCTTGTCTAAGGCACCTGATCCAAGTTTTGTCTGTAATTGCCTGGAGAAAATACATTGTAAACACCCAAGTATTAACTTAGCCTCTGGAATAGGCCTATTTCTTCAGCTAAAATCAGGTAAATCTTTAAGGAGTAAGTTTCTTAGTTTAGACAACATTTGAAGAAGCAGCTCTGAGTCATAACTGAGTATTTCTTTCACAACAACATGAAAACATATCCAAGTTTATGAGAGAAATGAATCATGTTCTTTTTCTGAGAGAAAAAGAACACATGGACTGTGTTCACACCTTGATAGAAAGCTACTCCAGATACTGAATGGAAAATAAGAGAACATGCCTCAAAAATAAATTGGTTTCACAAGCCAGAATTATTCCCAAATTCAGTAAGGAAATTATCATCTCCTAAATCAAGATGGCTCACTTGAATTTTCTAGCTTTAAAACTACTTCTCTTGTGTATCAAAGATATTTTCCTGTCCTTTTTTGTATTACTCTGCCTCTTGCTGAATATTTAAATAAATATTCTGTTCTGTTGCTGCTGCTACAAGTCCATAGGAAAGAAGCACCTGATGTTATTTATTGATGTTCATGAGGGGACTCATCTGTACCACTTGAAGGTTTTGGTCTATGTTCCACTGATCAAGCGCTGAATGCTTAAATGCTTCTTCAGCATTATCTCCTGGGATGCCTGAAGTCTTATTTATTTCATTTATTTCTCGTTTATTTTGAGGCTGCTGCCTCAAAACAATGGGTTTTTGGGAAGTTGTTTAGTTTCACCTCTTACTGTGCTTTGTTGACAAAGCTCTGATGTGTGGAAGTGGGAGCTGTGCAGTCTGTCCCGTAGCTAAAGTCAGCTTGTTTTCAACTCGAGTGTTTTGGGAGGCATTCTGACGTGCCCCAAGAAAAGCCACCAGGCAGGTTTGGCATGTTTTCATCCCAAGTCAACTTTAGGAAACGTTTCAAGTCTCTTTCTTCTGCTGTTAATGAACTTCGAAGTGCTCCAACAAGTTTCAAACCTCATCCAGGTACTCATTGGTCTCACTAATTATCCACAGACTTCATGCCTTTCACAGGCGTGTCGTGCCTGGTTTTATTTCGCAAACTGGATCTCCACTGGCAGCGTCTTTCGGAGGGGCGCGACCCCATCCCCGCCCGAGGGCAGCGAGAGCGCCTCACGGCGCGGGCCCGGCCGCAGCCGCAGCTGCAGCGCCCCCTCGCCGCGGCGCAGGCGCGGGCGGGCCCGCGCTGTTGCCGGCGGAGCATGCGCGGGGAGGCCGCGGGGCGGGATGGCGGCGGCGCCCGCGGCCCCAGGGAGCAGGTCGGTGACGGGGCCGGGCGCTACGAGCGCCTCCGGTCGCCCGGTACCGCGCAGCGCAGCCCGGGGTGGGCCGGCCGAGGTGGCCGCAGCAGCCTCTCCATGAGCGCCTCGGTGCCTCCCGGCAGCGCCCCGGGGGCGGTGCGGGCCGGGCGCGGCCGCAGCTCCGGCCGGGCGGGAGGAGAAGGAGGAGAAGAAGGAGGTGGAGGTGGTGGCGGTGGCCGTGTCGTTGATGCCCTGCGCGTTGTGTTTTCCCAGCAGGTGTTGTCCTTCTTGATTCCCATGTCCTATTACCAGGAGGATTTCTTCAGAGAATACCTCAAGATGATGGCGAATATGGTCATCTTGAATTTGCTTATTTGTATTTCGCTGGCGTTCTGGATCGTGTCGATGACTGCAAGTACGTACTACGGTGAGTCCAAAGGCCGGGAGAGGCTGACATGGCACGGCCACGGGCGAACCCTCCCCTCCGGCCTCTAGGCAGGGGACAGAAATGGGAGGAGGGGTGTGCGCAGCCCCTTCCTTCCTTCGTCAGTAGAGCTGGTAACTCAGCTCTCACAGTAGGTGATGGTGCTTTAGAAGATGCTGACAGCAGCTTACTTGCAGCTCTGCCCAGGGATTATGTGCAACTTAAAATGTTGGTGTCCTTTGTGATGTCTTTCTCCAAAAGAAAGCAAATAAAAATTAAGAAGTGAAAGGAAAAGCTGAGCTGGCAGTGGTGTTTCTGCATCAGGGGAAGTACGTGACAGCATGGGAAGCGTGTGCCTGCTTTCAAAACTGTTTTAGGAGTCGGCAACATCTGCAACGTGCAGAACAGGTCATGCAGGAAGACTTCCTTAGTCGAGGAACAGAGAAACGGGAAATGCTATGAGAAGACAGGGATGTATGGATGGAGTGGCTGGCTGAGGTGTGTACTGTCAGCTCAGCGTTCTGCTCAGGCTGGTTGTGACTTAGTTGTGTGCAGTTGCAGGGACACAAGTCCTCTCTGTAGTCTCTCTTTTTGGCTCTAGGGCCACTCTTATAGCATTGTGCAAAGCAGCTGATACTGCCTGCAGTATCAGTTTATGCCTAGAAAAATTCAGCTGTGTTTCTGAGACGGGTAGAGACTTACCATTCAGACCCCAGCTGGTTTGATGCTGGAAGAGGTCCAGTGTCATTGCAGTATTGCTGAAAGTGTGTAGAGTTAGAGTATGAGCACCTTCAACTGCCTAGTAACACCCTGGGTCCAGAAGAAACAACAATAAATACCCCACCAGTATAAGCTGACTTTTGTAGAGGCAGTTGCATGTCTCTGCTCAGTGTTTTTCAGTGCTTTAGGATGGGTTACTTCTGGTACAGCATTAAATCTGTGTTGTCTGCATACTTCTGGTTTGGCTTGTAGTGAGATGCCAGATGTGTAGAAGGTATGCAGAAGCAGGCTTCACAACCAGGTTTTATTTGTGTCATTTATCACTACCCAAGTGAAATTTAAACATGCAACTTCATTCATGTGTGTCTGCTCTCCAAAGGTATAGCTTTTCTGACAATTAGGATATTCTAGTCCTTGTTCTTATAAGTGAGTGGAAATTTACACTATAACATGGAGAGACCTGCTACCAGCTAAATCAGTACAGGGCCTGATAGAAAGGAGAAAACTATGGACAAATCCTCCTTTCTGTAGGGAATGGTTATGGAACAAGAAGGACATAAAACTTCTGTCATTCATTTGCCTGAGACTGGAAAGGCTTTTCAAGAAGGTGAATGAAACATACAGTAGTTAATGGGCTTTAAATGGTTCAGCCTATAAAAGTGGTAAAATTCACAGTCTGTAATATAAATATAAAAATACTGCAAACATACTTTTATTAATGTAGTGTTTATAATATTTCTTAAGCTCCAAACAATGGGCCAGATGTTAGTGAAGCCAGAATGTTGAAGAGCATATTCATTGTTTTATTATAGATCCTAACTTGGTCTTACTTAGTAGTAATTTAATACAAATACTTTTCTCTCCTACAAGCAAATCCAAAAGGTTTCGTTTAAAAATGACCTTGAAGAAATGAAAATTCTGTTTGTTAGCCAAAGAAAAGGAACCCCTTTGTGTTACAGTACTACTTACACTCAAGTTTGCATCACTAAGAGCTGCCTTGGTTTGTGACGAGCAATACCAGGCTACAGCACTGGAGGGCTCTTAGTACACAGCTGGTGTTCATCTTCAGAGTTTCTGACTCAGCCTGGGCTGCAAGAGTCCCCTTGCTCACCTACTATGGCTTTGGGGCTTTTCAGTACACAGAAGAGATTTTTTTTCTTGTGAATCTTTACATTCCAATGAGTGTTTTACTGTGTCCTGCTTTGCACCAGGGTGCCAGTGTTTGTGCAGAGGTTGGGGTACTGATGACACGAAAGTTCTTGCTGAAAACCATCGTGTTTATCTTTCCAGCAAGACAAGCCTCTGTGTACCCTCTGTGAAATCTTTGTTTTACCAGATTGAGACTTACTTGAGTGCAAGATTTGTGATGTCTTGTATTTGTATAGGAGATATAATAACTTCTCAAGATTTTTTTTTTTCCAAAACCTATATTAACTATTTGCTTTAGCTTTTAGAAGTTTGTGTGTGTTTCAAACTGAAACTGTCACTTCAAATCTTGCTGAGAAAGTAATCAGCTCGAAGTGTATTTTAAAGAGCCTTTCATCGAGACCATTACATCATCTTTCAGAAGAACTGACAGGGCTGGTGTTTCATAAAGTGGTCACACTACTTTCACCTAGCAGACTGTCTTGCTTGGCTTTTTTTGGTAGTGGAATTTTGTCAGTAAATTCAGATGTTAGTTTTTGAGCTTCATAAATCCCTTTTAGAATGGAAAATATCACCATATTTATTTCTTGTCACATTTTGCTATTTTTTTGGTAATTAATTTCAGTTCATGAAATATATTTTCTTTTGATAGCTGAATGGAAAAATTGAGTAGATAATTGCAGATATATTGTCCTTCTGTCCACATGAATGTCTTTCTTCTGAAGAATAAAAAGTTTTAATCTCTATTAAGATCAAAATTTAAGTATGTATCAGGAAATAATGACTTTTCAGACATGAAGACATAAAGGCTTTATGAGGATCATGTGTAACCCAACCCTGTTATTTGATTTATCAGGTACTTTACGACCCATTTCTCCATGGCGCTGGCTTTTTTCAGTCTTGGTTCCACTAATTATTGCTATGCAAGGGTTTAAGAAGAAGAGTCTAGATCACAGTGGTGCATTGGGAGGTATGTTTTTTCTGAGACTTAAGCTGAACATTTGGTAAACTAAAGGTCCTTTTTATTGTTTGCAGTTTAAGACTTCACAAAGTTCTATTGTAATAAAATATAAATGTAAGCATACATACCCCAGATTCATACAGGGTTTTTTTTCTCATGCCTGTTTAAACAGTCAAGTAACCCTGTGCTACTGTTCATAATTGATTTGATTAATGCTATTATAGTTATATAAACCTTGAAGATTCTTTTAAACTTCAGTACAGTATGAAGTTAAATTACATGGTTTGGTTTAACATACAGAAGGATTCACAGAGAAACAAGGAAATGGCAGAGGTAGTGGTAAAGAAAGACCCTAAACTGATCACGTCAGCAGCCTTCCTGCTTGGAGGGAAATCAGTTCTCTTTTCTGTATGCTTCCCCTTTCAGTAATAGAAGCAGTTCTAGGCATTTTTTGGCCTGGCAAAAATAAGAAAATTAAATCTGTACTTCAATAAGAACAAATGACTGTTTCTGAAAAGTTTTTCTAGACCACATGATGAAAAGCCCAGCGTAGTGTACAATAGTGTTTATTGAAATCTGATGCAACGTTTCAGGGTGAGGTGATTCACCCTTGTCTTGTGACATTGCCTGAATTGATGTTCAGTGGAGTAAAACAGGGCCTCAAATCTTTCCTTCCCTTGTCACCCATTTTGCAAATCTTCTGTCTGTGAGAGTTAAGGGAAGCATTTTCTACACTGACAAAAATCTTTCTGACTTTTATGTTCTGACCTCTTAACAGCTCTGCTAGCCGATTTATACTGGCGTTTGCTCTTAAATGCAACCATTTTTCTTTCAGTCCTTTAGAACTGTAATCTCATGGTGAGGAGTGAAATTAGGCCTCCCCTGTGAAAGGGGACATAAAAGTGAATTGCGTCAAGGAGATCAAATACTTTAAAAAATTACAGAAACAAAGACGTGTAATAAAAATCAGAAACTAACAAAGGAAAGAATAGAGAAATAGCATCTGCTAAGATTTGGAGAGGGGTTTTACAGGTGATCTTGGAGACCTTGGATGTGGGATTCAATACCTAAACTGATGATAAACTTGCTGATAGAGGCACAGCCACAGATATATATTGCTCCTTATAAAAGTAATAATATTCTTCAGGCAGAGTACTTGAATTGCAATTATATTTTCTTTGGATTCTGGGGGTTTTATTGCTTCTCTTTTATTTTTGCATAGTATAACTGATTTGTGGCAAAAGGTCTTAAAAATCACATGCTTCACCAGTTAGAATAAAATTAGTAATTTTCAACAGAATCCCTTATTGTATGATTGTATTAGGTTTATCAGGAAGATACTCTTCATATTCAGAAAATTTGAAGTACTTAATTGCTTTGCAAAACAACCTTTGTTACATGAAGGAACTTTATATGCTTCTTTTTTTCTTCACAGGACTGGTGGTTGGATTTATCCTTACAGTCGCAAATTATAGTTTCTTCTCTTCTTTGTTTGTATTTTTTGTAACTTCTTCAAAACTTACCAAGTGGAAAAAAGATATAAAGAAACAAATAGATTCAGAATACAAAGAAGGTAAGCCAAAATACTTTAATTCTTTTAGATCCCTTTTAGAGAATAAATACTGCATGTTTCTTGTTCCTTTCAAAGAGTCAGATGAGATATAACATCTAGAATAGGGAACACTCTTGAAACTCCCTTTGACCCTATCCCTGTGAATATTAGCAAGCCACTTTGCTTTTGCTTCTGTTCTGTTAAATAAATTTCCATAAAGTTTCTGTTTTAAATGTTTGTCTTTTTAAATTTAACTTTAGAGAAGCGTTATTTTGGTTTTGCCTCATGCTGTTGCCTGAAATTACTAAAATTCAGTTTCTGTACTTCAGGTGGCCAGAGGAATTGGGTTCAGGTATTCTGTAATGGTGGTGTTCCTACTGAGCTGGCTCTCTTATATATGATAGAAAATGGACCAGGTGAAATTCCTATTGACTTTTCAAAGGAATACACAGCATCATGGATGTGCTTATCCCTTTTGGGAGCTTTGGCATGCTCTGCTGGTGATACATGGGCTTCAGAGATTGGCAGTGTTGTGAGTAAAAGCAAACCAAGATTGATAACAACCTGGGAACAGGTTCCAGTAGGTAAGGTGTTACCTCTTCTACATGTTTTTAATATTTTGTTAGTCTGTATTGAATTATACATCCAACTTGTAAAGTTCCAAGAAAGACATAGAAAAATAAATATTAGAAATCTGGGATTTGAAAAGGTTACTAGGAATGCATTCTCTGAAATGGAATATAGTCAACTGTATTTCTTCCGATCTTGTTGATGAGATGCATAAGCATAGCAGCCACGGAGCTAAAATCATTCTGAATGCTGTCACTTCTAATCTCTGACAATAGTAAAAGAGTTTATACTCCTAGTATGAATAATGCAAGTTATCAACTGATATTTTTCAGGCATTATTTCAATCAGTAATATACATATATATTCAACAGAGACAGTACAGAAAATTCACTTCATAACCAAATCACTAATTTCCTTTAATATCCTACCAAGGGTGAATAAAGTGAACTTTCTGTCTGTCAAACGTTGTCTCCATGGTGGGTGTCATTGCTGCTTTAAAGCAATATACCTTTTTAGAGTCTTGCTGACAAATTGATCAGAGGCACAGATCTTGTTGGATAGGAGTGAAATGTATGGGAATTTTTTTTCTTTATATGCACTCTTCAGATTTTTATTCAATGAGCTCTCAAACTTCTCTGTTTATGGATTTAGTTCTTTTATTTTTAAATGTGCTGGTAAAACATGTTGTAGTATACTACTTCTGGAAGAGGGCATTGCTTTAATGTGCACATCTCAAGGTTTGTTTTTCTTGAGCAAATCTCTTCTTGTATTACCCCACCACCTCCTAGAGCAGGCAAATACCAGGTGACATTGAGAGGTGTGTGCTGTTTAGTTTTATTTAATTTAATGCTGGTGAATATTTCTAGAGAACTAGCCCTAGAGATGGGAAAGGAGTAGTAACAGGCAGTAATGGTGCAGGCTGAGCTGCTCAACAGCATAATGGGAATTGTAAAAAGCTGCAGTAGATGTAAGGGGAGAAGCTTACTATGGGCAGTTTGGATTTCATGTAAAATATTTAAATTATCACAAGTCTTTTAAAACCAGTTTGTAAATCAGCTATACTTTATTTGACTTAGGTACTAATGGAGCAGTTACTTTAGTGGGCCTGATCTCAAGTTTGCTTGGAGGCATGACAGTAGGTATAGCCTACTTTATAACTCAACTCCTTTTTGTGAGTGATCTGGAAATATCTGCTCCACAATGGCCCATCATAGTGTTTGGTGCAGCAGCTGGCCTACTGGGATCAATTGTTGATTCGTATTTGGGAGCTACAATGCAATACAGTGGTAAGAGTCTTCTTTTTTTCTTTTTTTTTTTTTCCCTTTCTCCCAGTGTAACCTAAAATTTGACTTGAGCTTCAAGAAGGGCTGGGGATATGATTTTTAAATGGCAAGATTACAGAAATAGCAGCATAAACGACAAAGGGAGCAAAGGGACATAGAAATGAAAAGGAGTAAGGGTGGTTGGCCCTTTTCCACATTTTGATTTGTTCATTGTAGCTTATTGTCATGCTGATGACTGAAAGAGACAGATACCCAACAAGTTACCTTGGAAGAAGCAATTGCTGCCCTCTCCTTTTCTATATGTCTAATTACAGTATTTTATAAGAAAGAATGTCAGTTTAATATTATCCATTTAGTTGGATTAAGTTGTCACTGCAGAAGCTCCATTCCTAATTTTGAAGTCTTAGCAATAGGCTCAAATGTAAGAATTAAGTAAGAAAAAGTGAAAAATAGTTTACCTTCTGTTTTTTTCTCTGCTTCCTGTAGAATCTCTGCAATACAGAGCACTGTTTCCTATAAGTTAAGCTTATCACAAACTAGCTGTGACTTTAAATAAAAAGACAAGATGCATTTTAAAAAAAATATGTTGACCGGCTGGTTCTAAATTATTTCAGTGTTTACTCATTGCCTGTGAATAAACACTACAGACAACCTTTAGGCCAAGCTTTAAACTTATCCTATGTTTCAAAATTATTTAGAGACCATATGTGACACTGTTGTGTTTACCAGCTTGTTTACAGAGAGAACTTAAGTTTCCAGGTTTCATTGTTGGTATACTTATTAATTGGAAGTCAAGGTGTGAATGTGCAGATGAACTGCCTCAGAGACACAAATCCTTTAGGTCTGGCTTTACAGTGAGATCTGCCAACTCTTGTTGATGCTCTGGATTTGGCTATACAGCATTTTTTATTTATATACAGCTCTATTCTTTGTAATTCCATTGAAGTTCAAAATACAATGGAGTGTTTAACTATTTGATGAAGTTTTAGATATTTCTGTCCTGAGCAAGAAACACTTAAGCACTCAGACAATGTTGCAAGCTCCTAAAGAGGCAGATGCATTAAGAGAATGGAGTAAACCTAGCTAATGCATGCCTGCATTTATCAGCATCTATTTCTTCTTCATTTCGTGTATTTTTTCCATGCTCAGCAACTTACCTTTTTAGCTGCAGCAGGGACAGCGTGCAAGTTACACAGTTTCTTTTACAAATTCAAAAGCATTGCTGGAGTACGTACACCATGTTGTGCATGTACATGCTGTGATATATATGTGATGTGAAACAGGCAAAACTGTGCTGCTCATTTGTGTCTCCTTTAGCCCACTTTTTTGTTCCCTTTTCAGTGTGGACTCAGAAGGAATACTCTAGTTTCTGCAGCATCTTGAAAAACAATAAATATGGCAGTGGGAATAAAGAATTGTCTCTTTTTTTTTTTTAAACAGTATGCTGCTAATCCTTTCTGTCAATGTTTTTTCTTTTGGTGATATTCCTAGATGTGGTGTAGCTAATAGCTTGTGATACCCACTGTTTCTGAAAGAAAATCCACTCCTGCCTGCACAGTTATTAATTCAAACTTTGAATAGCTGTGAAGAGTAAGATTCAAATTTGCCCATGTTATCAGTCTATACTTATTCTGTAAATAACAGAGCTAACAAAAGGACTGTTACTTTACCTACTTGTTCATTATTGGAATATACACTTGATGTACAATTGAGGCATATACTTAGAAAAAGATAATTCCAGTTTTTCCTCAAAGAAAGTACTACTCTCTAAACATAGCAAGTGTTGAGAGTTAAGCTATTAGACTTTGAAGTTTGATTTTTCCGTAGCTGTTTTGCATTATTTAGGGCCAGGTTTAAATGTATGTTTCAAAACAGTATTATCAACTAAATCCCTGCCAGGGAGGTTTGTAGTGGGGGATTTTTTAAGTTTTGTCTGAGATGCAGAGTTTATTTGTAATAAAGTAGCAGCTTTCTTTGAAATTGACAGGTTGTGAGTGTTGAAAGTAAAATCTAAGAAGAAAAAAAATTAATATAAAATATGCTGATTTCATTTGGAATGTTCCAACCTTAAAAGCTTGCATGTGCATGTACCCAGTTACACTTCACTACAGTGTGAGTTAAGATCAAGCGTTCTAGATTGGTGTGGTTTTATCAGCATACAGAATGGTCCAGCTGGACAAAACATAGGATAATGGTGTCTATACAGTAATACCTAATAAAGTAATATTAAAGTATTAATAATACAAAGGCAGAGCAAGAAATTACCTAAGTACTACAGAAAAAACTCTAGCTGCTGGTAGTATAAAATTGCTGTGTAAATAGAATTTATAAATTTAGCCTTTGTGAGGAGCTTGTTTTCTATCAGATTAAGTAATAATGGTGTTTCCATATTTTTTTTTAAACAAACATGTCTTCCTGCCAGAAAACATGTTGCTAATAAGTTGTTTTTGTTTAAAACAGCATCCTTTGCTTTAGAGTGACTTGGAGCAGCTTTTTCCTATTCTAATTTAACTTGTTTCATTCCTTTCTTTGCTGTGAAACTACATAAAGAGAGAAGACTTGACAGAAGTGTAACTTCTCAAAAGAAGTAACTTCTAATGTAAAATACTGCATTTATACTCCATTCTTTGAAGGTACCAAATTAAACTAACTGTAATTTAGCTTAGTCTGATGATGTCTTCTTACAGAGATTTAACACTGTTATAGTAAAATAAATTTAGGAAGGTATGTATACTTGGTTATTAAGTTTCTCTTCATCTCAGTTGGCTTTGTAAAATGAAGTTTTTTATCTTTTTCCAGGTTTTGACCAGACAATTGGCATGGTTGTTAACCACCAAACAAAAGACTCCAAGCACATATCTGGAAAACCTATATTAGACAACAACGCCGTAAATCTTTTTTCTTCTGTAATCATTGCTCTGGTGCTTCCAGGCATGTCATGGTTTTTCTGGCCAAGACGTTGAAATGGTTTAAGGTCTTCTGCATGCAAATTTATGTTCAGTCCTGCTCAGAGACTCCATGGAGTTCCAGTTGAACTCTGTAAGAGATGGATCTGAAAAGTTCAAAGAGCCGAAGGACTTTCCATCTCAACTTGTTAAGGCTGTAAACCTCATGTGGCAATCAGCATCTCTCAGGAAGGTGCTTTGTCAATAATGCTCTTGCTGCTCCTCAGGTGGATGTAGGTCATTGCCAAGTGAGGTGAAGCACTTGATTCATTTATCCTCCATTTATGGAGCTGAAGTGTTGGTGTCTATTCTCTCCAGTTCCCAGCATCTGGAAAGGCAGGAAGCTGGAAATAGAGGTCTAATCCACCTCAATCAGTGTGATGGAGCCTTGTGACTGTTATTCAAGTTAGACACAAAATACACTGCAGCTTTATATAGGCAATGGTAACATGGGTGGAGTGGGTGAATTCTGGTATTTCTCATTAACTACAGTTTTTAAGGTCTTTTGGAAGTATTTGGGCAGGGAAGAAAGAATTCAGCCTTATTGCCTATTCTCTATCCTGATACTATCTCCACTTCCCTGAGAACAGGTTTGATAAAAATGATCCATACATAACATTGGAAACAAAAATCTAAATTTAAAGTAGAAACTTTAACCTGTTCCAGTGAGAATAATAAAATTTTCTGTGCTTTTTTGAAATTTTTATTTCAAAAATAATGATATTTATGAAGGTTTGTCAATACTGTGGTACTTATCAAATACTTTAAAATTAAATATGACAGTTGTGGATTCACAGTCATCTCTTTAGCAAGTTAATGGGTTTTTTTCTATAAGTATAGAATTGTTCCATAGTGTTTGGCATTCTAACCAAACTATGCTCCTTGGTTATTTCTCTATTTTATTAACAGTGGAAATGTTTCCCATTTTGTCTGGGGCTTCTATTTAGAGATGATGGCCTCAGCCAAAGAGACTACAGACATTATCCTTGTTGCAAATGGGGGAAATCACACATATAAACCATTTAAAAATAGAGATTTCATTTTTGATGCTCAGGTTCCTGTGTTAGGTAATTCTGTCTTCCATCATTCATTTATAAAAGTTGCAGAAGTAATGTAGCCAGTACAGATTGTATTTAAACTTTAGAGATACCTTCATAACTTCTCTGCGGTGACATTCAGAAGTGTGGCCCCATACTTTTAACTTATGAAAAGCTTTTCCTTTTTTGTTAAAGATAGATTAATGTTTTGTGTTGAACAACTGGGTTTTTTTACAAGTGTCTTGTGTATATTGCCTGTCCTAATTCAATTGACTTTTTTATTTTGTCACCTTTTATGGGAATATTAAAAAACTTTAGCACCTTCCATACTGAGTTTACTCTTTAGAAGTCTAGTCTGTATAGATCTGGAATTCATCACTGGAACTACTTCACTGTATTACCCTGTTATAAAGATGAGATCTCAAAGTAGTAAAAGCTTTTTGAAAAGAACAAATTGTGTAGCTGCTCTATGTCTGTTCCTGTGGAAGGGCACAAAATTATGGAAGTAATGTATGCACTTAAACTGTAACAATAAACACTTGGGAATTTTATGCACTGTATGGACTTATGCTGCTTCTAAATAAACACTGAATTAGTTCTTCTTCTATGATTTTATTAATCCTTTTGTGGTTTTTAGAATTGAGCAAGTAAATTTTTGTAAGATACTTTTTTTTCAGATAAATGTCTTACTCGTATGTTCTTTTGTTTCCTGAAGTGAATTGTACTTTCAAGCACTGAAGTGGACATGGTCAGCTTTTTTCACTATTTTTTATGAGTCCATTTGAAAACCAGCTTACCATGGTGAGAAGACATCTGATTTCATATTCATAGCAGCATGAAATGCTTTGATCTGTGATCATATGAACAAATGTGATCTCACTGAATTCCTGTAGTTAGCATCTTCAAAGGCCATTATTTTGGAAATTTTTTTGTCATGTCTTAGTTATGATACTTGAGTTGCTTTTGAAATTTCCACTCATAAGTTTCCAGTATACAGAAAGATCTGAGCACACTTAAACTCTGAAAAGGACAGCATTAACTTCAGGTGTATTGACTGTAGCTTAGGCAGATATTGTTACATTTAACTACTCAGTAGCTGTAAACTGACAAGCTCTGGGCGAAGGTGGTGCGCAATGGCAGAATGTGACAAACTGCCTGTAACTTGGTGTGGGTCACTAAGCAGTTTCTGGGCTCACAAGGCAGCAGATGGATAGCCCCTGTCCAAGTGCTGCTTGGAGAGACAAAAATGCAGGAAGTAAAAAGAAAAAGGGGGAGTTAAGAGACAACCAGGAAGTTGATCAACTGGAAATTGGAAAATAAGTGACTGCAGTTAACAAATTTAATTCCATTCTTTAAACTCTAGAACTATTCTTTAGCTCCAGAACCATCGGTACCCTCTGTCACTGATTTTGCATTAATAATTAAGTGGCATCAATATTTCCACAGCACCAAGGCAATACACTCAAAAACCTTTTAATTGAAGCAGTTACAATTGTGACTTACAGGTCCTCATGCTTGGCTTGATTGGTGGATGTGATAGATGTTTAAGTAAAATTTTGACATAATTGCATGCGAGAAATCTGTAGCCAGGTGTCACCCAGACTTGGTGCTGTGATTGTTGAAGTATACTGGTGTCAGAATCACCAGTATCTATTTTAAATTTCTATTTCATTGTTACAGCTGCAGATTGTCTTGGGTCTGCACATGCTGCATTTGAGTGGTCCATCATTACCCAGTTTCCTGGGACAGCAGAATAAAGTGGTGTAAAAAACAAAGGGGGTATACCGCCTGTCTTGGGTATTAGAACAAGCTGATTCCGCAGATTGACTTTTTCTGACAGTGAAGGGCTGAAATGTCATGAAATTCTGTTGGTGTTTTACACAACCAACTTGGACACTATTCACATTGCAATCTGTTAGGAGCGGGCATCTCAGATTTGTAAGTGGCATTTGTTTTCCCTGCATTTCTTCCAGCAGTGCTTTGGTCCCCATGCAGCCTTTTATTTACATCTCATTATCTAACATTTTGAATTGGCATTAAGTCACTTTTCTTCAAGCAGGAGTTAACCTGTTTTACAGGAAATTTATTCCCTGTAAAGCTTTGTAGGTATGCTTCTGGCTATTGCTATAACTGGATAATAATTTTTAATTTAAACACTGCTTCTGTTGGGGGATAAGGTGCAGCTCTGGGATACAATTATATGCCTGTTGTAATGCATAAATCAGAGAAGGTACATGAATTCACTCAGACTATGTGGGTCCCAAGCACTCCCAAGCCTACAGCCACCCTCAGTAAATATTAATGCCAATACCAAATGAGGATGAATACAGAAATGTGGAAACAAAGCTACTGAGAAAATGGCAGCCTGTACTTGGGTACTCCCAAGTCTGTAAAGCTTGATTCCAAGCAAAGAAATTCCACCAGGAATATTCAGTAGCTTTTCTACAACGTTCCTCTCACAAAGTCAATTTTAATCTCTACCCGCTACAACCACTAATTAAATCATAGAATCACAGAACGGCCCAGGTTAGAAGGGACTTTTGCGAGATCATCTGGTCCAACCTTTTGTGGGCAAGGGACCTTTGGTGAGATTATCTAGCAGTAATCAATCTGTCCAATCACATTTTAAATACCTTTGATGATGCGCACTCTACCACATCATTACACATCAGAGTTTTCCTTGAAACACAATAAGGTGGATGCATAGGGAAGTAGATGATCACCATTATGATTTCTGATCAGGAAACATTTTGTGACTGACTGATGGTATGAAGCAAGTGTCATACATGATATCATTTTGAAAATATCTTCATAATAAATGTATCCTCCTACAACAGACCAACCAGCAGCATTGCTTGCTCAGTGCTGTTCTGGGATTTGCCATTTTAGAGCAAAGACAAGTGTTTGCTAATTCAGGTGAAATTCAAGAAGTGAAGACTGGATTCACCAACATGTGGAGGAACCAGCCTGAGCTATGCTGAGGGAACGAGAACTGCACCAGTATGGAAACAGCTGCCTGTTTGCAGGGAGCTACCTGGCTGGACCTGCTGAGTCACCTGGGAAGCCTTGCATAACTTGTTTGCACCTCTCTTGTCTGGTGGCTGCCTTTTTGTGGCTTTGTTCAAACAAGCATAAAGCAGAGTTAAATACTGCAATGTGATCACTGTCCAAATTGGTCTTGGAGGTTCAAATCCACACCATTAGCAAGGATGACAGTGGTTTAAAAAAACAATGCGTCCTGCAATTAGAGGAAGCATCAGTAGAAAGTAGTAAGAAGTTTTCTGGTGCTCATTTGTTAATACCCTTTAGTATCTTCAGTAACTATTTTTGTAAGGTCTTTGCAGCTGCAGCCCTAGCTGCAAAGCTGGGAAAGTAGAAGGACACCATAAAAAAATTGTGTGACTGTGTTCTGATGTTTCTTGATAAAGGGCTCTTGCTGCATTGGCTTATGCAGAGTTCAGCCCAGTACTAGACAAGCAACAACTTCTGTCATCCTACTCTTTTTGTCACTATTACTTGTTTTCCTGATATTTCATTGTTTCACTTGTTGACTTCCTAAGTCCTGAATTCATTCCACTGTCAAAAGCTGCTGCAATAGAATGGTCACCCAAAGCAGCAGCAGTCTCAGTCTGCCTTAAACTGCCAAATGTCCTGGTTATGGTGCTCCCAACAGGTGCACATCATCTCATTCCATTAAGTGTCCCATCCTAATATAATTTTAAATGAAAAAGTGAAAGGAGCTGATTCATGATGCATTGGGATGAGGAGCATGAGTGTTACGCACCTCTGCATTCTGGAAACTCTGTCTTTGGTAGGTGCCATAAGAAAACAAAGACATGGGTGTCAGCGTCTGACCATTGCACTCGGCGGTGTCTACTTGAGGAGCTCTGTAGTGGATTTATTTAGCTTGTGCCAAGCTATGCCAGAAAAAAAAGCATCCCACATCAACCAAACCATAGAAAGTGCTCAAAGCCCTTATCACAAGACAAAAAAGAAGTGTAATGTTATTTACTGTTCTTTAGAGTTTTAAGTTAAATGAACAAAATTATTCTCACATTTTTTGCCTGCAGATTTGAGTAATAAACCACTTACATTCAAGCAGGTTTGGTGTGGAGTAGATTAACAAATGTTTCCCTTGGGTTCAAAATTCATCTGAAATAAGAATGTAATCTAGATGTTAAATTTGTATGCCTTATCTTTTTCTTTCCTCTCTCTAATGAAGAAAATTTTTTATAATATATTTTGGGTTTTTTCCTCAGTGGCAAAAAAATGGATGCCTACATATCAGTCTGTGCCCATGTCATGGAGTCTGCAAGTCCAAAAATCACTCCTGCACGTATGCAGGAGATTTTGGGATTTTTGTCTCTAGTTCTTGGCAATTGTAATCATTAAAGGTCTTTCACAATTGTTAAATATCCTCTCGTGTTTGTTTTCTGCCATTATTTAAAATAAGCAGGTTGGGTTTAATTCCAGTTTTGTTTATCTCTTTCTCTGTTTTACCACCCCAACTCCTGGACTGGAGTCCACAGCTCTGCTTTGATCCTGACTGTGAGTAAGAGGAACCACAGAACAATATCTCTTTTCATAGCAGCAGGTACAAAGTCAGTGTCTGTTCTGGGCATGACACAGAACTGATCTATTTTGTGCAATTATTTTTCTTTGCTAGTGCAAATAGTCATATAAAACTACTATTTTATGTCCTCTGGGACCTATAATGTTTCCCTTCCCATCCAGGTTTAGGGAGAAGTGAAATGTAAACCCACAAAAACTGGCAGCTATGGCTGAAAGTTGCAGAAATCTGAGCTCCACTTTTGCATTAAGGATTCTGAGGAGTGCTATGGTAT